CATTTTCTTGAGTTGTCCAATTTCTACCCATAGAGTTCTCATCATATTACCTTATTATCGTTTTGCTGTCTGTAGGCTCTGTAGTAATATCCTATTTCTTTCCTGATATTGGAAATATTTATTTTTCCCTTTTTTCATTGTCAGAATTACTAAGAAGTATTTCAATTTTACTAATCTTTTCCACAAACTCTCTTTTGTTTTAGTGATTTTCTCTCTTGTGTATTTTCAATTTCATTAATTTTTCTCCTTTTTCCCTGTTCTGCTTGATTGGGGTTTATTTTGCTCCTCGTTTTTTGAAATGGGAGCTAGGATTGCTGACACTAGTCTTTCTTTGTTTGAATGCCACACCTGGGTCTCCTGTGCTTGGGGATTCAGTAGCATGGAGCCAGGATACCTGGTGCTGTGTTCTTCCAGACTGCCGGCATCTAGACCATCTGCCTTCGTCTTCCACCTTTCAGAGTCCTCCTATTCTTGGACCGTGTGATTTCCAGGGGTCAGTCTTGACCTGACTTTCCTGAACCAGGAAAGCAGGAAGAGACAAATCAACATCACCTCCTCTGGACTGGCTTGGGTTAGACTTTGGTCTTTGGCCTTGCATTGGGGCTCATACAAGGGCTGTTACTTCTGGTGCTTCCAGTGTGTCTGAACTAGCAAGCTTGCTTGTGTGCTAAGACTGGAAATGGGTATTAGGGTTGTCTGGGTTGGAAGGCTGGATGCCTATGTGGCTGACCCTGCTGCACCAAGATGCACAGCCTCCATCCCTTCCCTCAGGAAGGACCCCCGGTAGCCGGAGAAGGGGTGAGCGAGATGAGGTACTTCAACTCTGAATTCTGCCTTGAGCGTCTCACAGGGAGATTCATTAGCTTCAGAGCATTGATGGGTCCAGGTTCCCTCAGATGGAGTAAGTGGAGGCCCCTGGGAGTGGACTCCTGGATCCCTCTCTGATGCTGCCTCCTGTCCCTTCATTTCCAGATCTAGAACTGTCCACTCCACTCCTGGTGGCTCTCTACCTGGGTCCCAAGCTGCTACTGCTGCTCATCACTGTCTCAGTCATCTATGTCCACAGGAAGTAATGGATTGGCTGTGAGTTATGGACAAAGAAGACAGGGCAAGGTCAGTCCAAGAAAGAGCCAGATCAGCAAGAGGGGCAGCCCACAGGTCATACAGGGTCACCGCCCACTTGGAGTAAAGAGCAGGTGAAATAACTCCTTCGATACCCTAAGGGGCCTCAGGAATCCCTCTGGGAGGTTCCAAACTCCCAGGAGGACTCTCAGGTCCTGTAGGAGGTGGGTGGGGTCAAAGGCTGGCAAAGGATGTGCACAGAGGCCTAGGGTTTCTGAGAAGTGAGTGGGCTGACTGAGCAACAGCTGGGTGGAAAATCCCGTGGAGACCATCTCTAGATTATTTGGGCGCAAGGTGTCCACATTTAGAGGAATGCTGACAGGTGCCTGCTGGCTGCTCTGAGGACGGCTCCCGCTCTGACCCTCTGTGGGACAGACTGGAGAGGATGGGGAAGGGGGATCAGGACCTAGGGAGGAAGGTTGAGGAGGCACAGTCCATGTCAGGGACTTTCTGCCCTCTCACTACAGGTGTCCCAGGAGGAAAATAGCACCCAGGACAAAGGAGACATGTGGAGAACATTTCTGGAATGATGCGCAGATAATGAAATGTGAACATGGGTCCACGGCTCCTTCCTTCCTCCCCTGCTACATGCCATCCTCGGTCTCTGCTGCCTCCTTCCTTCCCTGAGGGGCCCAGCCTAAGACAAGGAACAAGTAGAAGCTTCCACAAATCTGCCCCAAATGTCAGCTTCCCCAGAGACCCACCTGCCCACAGTTCCTGCTGCTCCTCTCCCAGTCCTTGATGCCCCCAGAGCTGGTCTTCATACCTGGTCCTGAGCAGGGCAATAGAATGTCTCTGGAGACTGACACATGGATATCCTACTAGAATGTGAGAAACAAGTCACATGTACGCACACCAGGCTATCTCGTATCCTTCTCCTGGGGACCATGGTCATGAAGTACACACTCAAGTCCATGTTCTCACAGGTTATTCCTGCCAACCCTCAGACTCCTAAGCCTTGGTGAGTTCTCCAATGTCTCTCGAATACAAATGAATCCCATCCTGGTTGGAAGAAGAGAAGGGATTCTCCTCCCTCTTTGCCTACATGTCCTTCTATTCAGACCCACAGAGGAATATCTCTTCCTCTCCCTGTGATGGGAACACTACCTCTTCTGTCACCTTCATCCTTCCCGACCTTGTTGCTCACGTACACGTGCTGGCAGTCCAGAAACCTGGACCCTTCCCTGATTTCCTTCTTCGTATCCCGTGTTCAATTCTGCCTTCATAAAGCTATGTGCAGTGGCAAGATGGTAAATGTTCAACAATCCACTTCTCAGGAAGAAAAAGAAGCCCGATTTGTAGTGCTTGTCCACTTCGATGGTGTCTACACTCCTAATGTGGCCAATTTCAAGCTGCCAACAGTGGAACAACTAGCTTGCAAAATTCCTGGAAAGCTCTCAGGAGCGAGGGCAAGCCTCCTCCCGCCCACCAGGGAGCTCCACCCAGCACCTGCACACTGCTCGCTCCCGGGCTGCCCCCTGGTCCCGGCCACCAGCATCCCTTCCTGGACCATTGCCGCGTCCCTAACAGACTCTCCGCGTTCCGCCACAGTGATCCTATGGAAATGGAGGTCAAATTGTCTCCCTTCTGTGCTTCTTCCCCCTACAGATGTGCATGGCTCGGTCTCTCCCCCTTTCAAGTTCTGCTGATATGTCTCTTTATGAAAAGCACCTTCCAAAAACCACCCCATGTAAAATATCAATTCCACTCTCTCACTCTGCATTCCCACAGCTCATACCTGAATTGAACTACTTCCCTAGAACTTAAGATCAGCCAACTTGATAAATGGAAACAGTGCTCACTTTGCACAGTGATACAGGACCAAAACAATGACGGTGCAGCTGAAACCATGAAAAGTGATGCCAGTAATCAGTGGGAAAAGTAATGATTTTTCCGTGACCTTTAGAAACTTTTTTCAACATCTCAGAAACCCTCCAACAGTCAGTTATGAATGTATCGGGACATAAAAAAACAGTAAAACTATTATTCACTTGGTATATGGGCTTTTGAAACATTAGAAACGTTGAAAAGAGAAGAGTTTTATTTGTTTGCAAAGACTTATCAAGAGTAGTTTGCAGAGGGCCTGCCTTCCTCTGATGGCACAGTTTACAATAGAGAGCAAGTGTCTGGATTATCTCCCTCCTTTCTCACTTGGGATCAGCTTCCAACACTCCATCCTTGGCACTTCCGATGCTGTGAAATCTTTACAACATTAATGTGAATATTTGCTGACATCACTTCCTCTGGGACATTGTCACCCCACCCCACCCCCACTTTCCTCAGCGACGTGGTAAGTTTATCCTCACTCTCCTCCTCTGGCTGCATATCTGGATGCTTGGGAACAGTATCCCAGGCCGCATTCCCATGAAGGTCTCTGTGCCTTTATGAACCCCACTCCCATTGAGTTTGAACTTTACCTCCAGCTTCTTCTCTTCTCGTTTCTCCTGTACCCCTTCAGCTTTATGCCCATTCCCTTCTGCCATTTTTTTCACCTTTGTACGTTATGCAGGTTCATCGGGCGGGTGGGGGGGTGGGGAGACCAGGAGACTACACAACCATCTGCTTTGCTATTGTGGGAAATGCATATCACAACCCTAATTATCCTTGCACCCTGATCTCAGATTTTCATGCCCAGAACTGTGAGAAATTAGTTCCTGTTGTACAAGGCATCCAGTTTATGGTGTTTTCTTATAGTAGCCCAAGCCAAGACAAAATCTAAATAAATTATGGACTTTGCTAAATAATAATGTACCAACATGGGTTCATTATAGTAAATGTACCATACTACTGTAAGACGTCAATAAGATGGAAAACTGTGTGCAGCTGTATATTGGAACTCTGTATGATTGTACCAAGTTTTTTCTAAATGTAAAACTGTTACACAAATTAAGTCCATTAAAAAAAAGTCAACATCTTGTCCTCAGCTGGATCTCTGCCTCTCGCACCCCTCTGGGGGACATTGCAAGGAAGTGAATAGTTGGGAGATTTTGTTTCATAACCCAGGTTTTATCTCACTCCAGTTCTGGGGTTCCTTCTCCTCCTTCCTCTGTCCTCTGCCAGAGCTCACTCCAGAGCCAGGCACTCAGAGATCCCAGAAGGAGCTGCTTCTCTGTCCCCATGATAGTCATCCTAAATGTTTCCAAGTGGGAAAGCCCAGGTTAGTCCAGGTGTGCTCAGAGACCTCAAGCCCCCTGGGTGAGTGGGGTAGTTCTAAGGACCTCAATGGGGTGTGTGTGTGTGGAGGGGGGGGGGGTTAATCCATGTGCTGAGGTCGAGGAACAGAGTTGGAAGGGGCTCTGCAGAGCAAGGTGGATGCTGTGATGCACCAGGCCTCAGGAGGTGGCCCTGGGCTGTGACCCTCTTTGAGATGGCCTCAGCTGAGAAGAGCCACCTTGCCCCAGGTCATGCCTGGTAACCTGTCACATCCAGTGGCTCCTCAATATGGGGATATAGAGGCCCAGCCTGCTCACCCCCGCTCAGGACAACTCTGAAATAACATGTTAGTATCAGCACACACAGGAGATCACCTGAGGTTGTCATTGAGACCTCACTGCAGCTTAGCTTCTTCTAAACATTCCTACTCCCTTCTCCCTTCCACAGGTGTGATCCTAAAAGTACTCCCTGAAAATGACCTGCTTGTTCATATATATCTCAACACCTATTTCCCAGGGAACCCAATGTGGAATAAGAGATTGTGGTCAGTACCAGAAAAGGCAGGGATCCTTTTGTCTCTAGGGGCCAAGCCAGTCATGGAAGGGTGGATTGTGTACACTACCACATACCATATACCATATACCACAAACCACATTTCATATACCATATACCACATACCACATACCATATGCCATACACTATATTCTGCATACCATATGCCACATACCATATACAATATACCATATACTACATACCATATGCCACATACCATATACAATATACCATATACTACATACCATATACCACATACCATATACAATATACCACATACTACACACCACATACCACATACCATATACAATATACCACATACTACATACCATATACCATATACCACATAACACACAATATGCCATACACCATACTATATACCAAACACTCTGGGCTTGTAAGAGCAATGAGAAACCACAAAACTGTTTATGCAAGAAGGCGTATAATCAGATGTGTGTTGTAGAAGACCACCTTGGAAGAAGGAGAAGGTAGAGCTTACGCCAGACAAAACAAGATGGGGGTGCCTATTAGGAAGTAATAGTTTTCATTTGGGCAAGAGATGATGGAGATGGAGAAACAGATTCCACAGGTGTGTAGGAGGTAAAACCAAAAGGGCTTCTAGCAGGCAGACAAGAGTGGACAAGTGAGGGTGTAGAACGTGGGTCCCTTTTTGGTTTGCCCAATGTGTACAGCATGTGCCACGTACGGAACAGGGTAGAAGGGGTAAGAGAATGTCTGAGTGCAGACTATGAACTCAGTTTGAATATTTGAGCTACACAAATGAAAATTTCAAAGTCAAAGTGTATATAGCCCAATCACCAAGAAGTGGATTCAGGATTGGAACCTTGACTGCATCTATTTGCAAATCCAGTGCTCCTGACTATCAAGGCATTACATATCCCAGTCTTTAAACTCTGAAGAGTTTAGACTCTGATGGAAGGTGTGAAGTCTCCTGGAGGTTGGAGGAAGGGAGAGATGCTGGAGGCTGCAGGAAAGATGCTCAGTAGG